TTTGTTACTTGTATTCTACAATAAAAAGACAGCAGCAACAGGTAAATTTCCAGTTTTACTTCAGGTTTGAGGTCAGAGTTCCTCTGAAACGTGTTACTTTTCAGCTGGAAGCTTTGAGTTTGCACAAACTGCCTCTCTGGGCTTTTCATATACGTATATGGATGTTCACAACTGTATATTAAGAATAGAATATACCAGGGAACTACGGTTGTATCTTAACTTGAAAATGAAATGAAAACTGTTCATTAAATAATAACCAATGACCACATCATCATCTGAAAATAACTATTGGCTGGTTATCAGAGGGACTCCCCTTTTGGAGACAGTCTGCATTAGCTTCTGCACAAACAGCAGCAGAGTTTCTGTTCAACATTTCTGTGGATATGAGAATATAAATGAAACTTTTGACAGTTGTCTCCCTCCATAAAGTTTGTGGTGAACAGAGACACCCAGTGGCCACATTATGTAACTGCACTATGTGTTCATTGGCTTTCCCTTAGGCAGAATATTAAGGAGAGGGAGGACAGGAAGTTTGACTGTTTTTAGTCAGTTTATGCTGTGAAAAAGCTCGGATGAGACACAGGTGTAGGTTTTATTTTGGGGGGGCAGGTCAGATGTCTGTTCTGTGGCTGCGAGCACTGATGGAGCTCATCCCAGAAATGAGAGCAGCAGCTTTGGCTTGATGTGACGTTTGTTTGCTGTTGTCTTCACAGGTGGAGGCAGCAGCATCCCTAAAAGCAGCCTCACTGTTACTGCTTCTGTTTGTCTGAATAGCCTTTCCCTGTAGCGTCTGTTGGATATCCAACACCGCCCATATCCAAGTCGGCCATTTTGATTAGGTCATATGACTAGCTTTCTCAAGTGGAAACCAAACTTCCTTGTCCATACCAAATCGGAAAACGAACGATGTTGGTAAGTGAAAAATACATAATTTTATGTTAATAGGCCTAACGATATTACTTTAACCCTGCTGGATGAAATATTTATGATATTTGATGTGACGATCTAGTTTATTGTGTTCATTAGTTTTTTTGCATCTTAAGGTTGTAGTTTTGTAGAGTACCTTCAATTTAATGTTAGCTAGCGCTAGGCCCTGTTTAATTTTAGTTATAGATGTGTCTTGTGAAGTTGAGTTTATGCAATATCCATCCCGTGATGTCAAATGAACATTACAGTTATCATTTTTGTGTGAAAAAAGTATGCAAGATCAGTGAGAGCCCAACAGTTAGAGTGAAAATTAACGTTATTAGCCTGCTAACGTTAGTTACACATATCGGTATACTTAGCAGAGTTGTTAGCGGTTTAATTTGTTACACAATGTCCATTTCAAACGTTCTTGACTGTGTTGACGAACAGTACAACTTATTGTTATAGATAATAACCATTAATGTTTTAGCCAAAGAACCTGCAAGGTATGATGGAATAAAAAAACAACTATAAATATAATCTAAAAAACAATTTCTCTATAATTGTATTATACTCCTCACAAGGTCTTATATTTCTTTCTTAGGAAAATTCAAGGCATGGGTGAGGTACATCCAGAGGAATCCCTTGAACCGGTATTCATGTGCAGGGGGTTAAGAAGGTTTTAGTGGGAGATACTGCACTTTCAGCACCTTACACTATATCTGGTGTGTGTGCACACACGTGATGTAGTGTATCATGATACAGTGTGTGGATGTTGAAACATTTGTTTTCCTCAGGCCATCCAAACACACAGCATTATTTGGACCTCAGTGGGTTTAACAGTACGTTATTAGGATGGGAATAAACGTGATATAAATGTACTTCTGTCTTTCTCTCAGAGCACCATGAGAAGAATGGATTAAGCAGTATGCTGGATACGGGACATTGTGTCTCTTTTCCATGGACATGTGGAACTGCCCAGCGTATTGTCCATGACAGCGGAGGACCGACGGGGCATTTCAGAACATCACCAGAGATGACCGCTGGGATTTAAGAGAATTCCTCCTTTTTGTTTTCCAGTTCCAAGAAGACTACACAGTTTTTCTTGATTCTTGTTTGGCTCTCTCTCCAATGTTCCACACCCCTACCCTTTCCACTTAGCCAGAGGACACCCCCGCCCCCCACCCCCTGTCAACCCCTGGCTCACACACAAGGCTTTTACCATAATTTTAATGTAAAATATTATATTATTATTGTTGTTGTTGTTATTTGTAATTATTGTTGTTGTTATGTTGACTTTTAATTGTGAAAAATGAATACTTTTTGGTTAAATTTGTTTGAACTTATTGTACAATATTATGTTGAAAAAAATTACATTGATTATGTTTAGGGTCCTTTTGAGCTGTTCTATGTAAATGAATGCGAAACAGTTACCAAACCAATAAACAATTAACTAATATAGAATAAACCTTTAGAAAAGTGACATACAATCCAATTTTAATTCCAACACTTTCTTTAATGACTATTTTGTTTGGGTTTTTCCCTCTTCACAAACACATTTTGGAATATTACTGAGTACTTTCTGCAGATTAAATTCTTACATTTCACACAAGAGTTATTTATTTTACTGTCGTCTTGGGAGGCATCCAGGCGAAGCATTTTCTTTTCACAGGACTACTGGATGTTGGTTGGGGAACCATCACTTTGATCAACGAAAAAACTGAAACAGAACAGAATATTAGGGTTAACACACACACGGGCTTGTTGTTACTGCATAGTGATTGTTCAAACATGGAACGTTTCCAGTTTGAACTGGCTACAACATGATCTGATATTTATTCCCTGCTGACCACAGCAAGCCTGTCAGTTAAAGCAACAAAGGTGTGAAAAGGCAACAAACACTCCCAATTTACAGAGAAATGTCAAGCTTGCTATTTCCTTCCCCAGCAGTCAAAGCTTTTTATTGGACTTTCCAAATCAACATCCTAAAGCTTGAATAAACCAGAGCACCATCAACCAGTTGACTGGGAGGAGAAACCATCATGTACCCAGAACATACATCCTGTATTTACACTTGTCCAGACACCTGACAGGACAATTTGAAGTGTCAGTTTGAAATTCAAAGAGTTTGTTGCCTTTTCACAGTTGTGTTGATGTAACTGTCAGGAATTCTGTGGAGAAAGGGCCCCATTCTGCTTCCTGAACCCAAACTGGTTCCTCAGAGGGGGGGTCTGCTTCCTGAACCCAGACTGGAGACAAGCTGGTGGATAAGGTAACAAACAGCCTTTAAAGGGATTTTAGGTACAAACTTTTTGAATTTTTAGGTACAAACTTTTTGAATGGCTTCTCCGAAAACAGATCCACCTGCGTGATGTGCAATTTAAACAAGGGTGTTAACTTGTTTTCATAGAAAAATTCACCTGCCTGAAGAGCCAATATTCAACTCATTTGTTTTTGTTAGCTGACAATGCTCAAACAAATCAACGGTATATAAACACTGCCTTGGCTTCCTGAAGGCATTCAGTCACCAGACTCTGAAGCAGCAACAACCTGATCGACTAAAGTCCCCACAAGGTAAAGCTTGACTTGTTTTCCTGCAAATTATGTGTCATATCTGCTTGGCTTTGCAGCAATGAAAGGCCACGAGTTGAAGTTTTGGAAAGAAAGCTGACCGATTCCTGTCCTTCTCTGCTTTAATCAGATGGCAAAAACAGGGTTTCAGCCCGTTCTGCTGCTCTTTCTGAGCTGCGTCCTCTGGGTGGGAGCAAATGTAAGGATTTCCTTTGCTCTTATTGTCTTAAAGTCAGGGTTGTGTGCTGATGGCGGTCCCATATGGACCACTTTCCCCACCGGAGTAAATCTCTAATCCCATCTCTTCAATCCACAGGCGAGATGCCCCAAAAGGACAGGTGAGTGCTTTACCTGCATGTTCAGGACTGGAGGCTCAGAAAAGGCTGGAGGAAACCAGGGCAGGGTCAAGCAAATGATGCAGAACTCTTGACCAAACTAAGATGAACTGCAGCCCACTGGTCCACGGAGGTTCCAGAGGGGGCCTCCATCATCAAATCAAATCCATTTCAGTGTTTGATTGGGATGTTTATGTCTCCTTGGGCTGAGCCATCGATGGGCAGCCGCTCTGATTTCCTGTATTTTTAGGATAGAAATCAGTAAAAGTGGTGCTAAAAATCTGTCAGTTCATGGGTGCATGATGGTAAATAATCCCATAAATACGTCTTTGTAGTTAGTTCACCCCTGCAGAAGCACAAAGCACAAGCGGGCTGAAACTGGCTTCTTGCAGTGTTTTCATTCTTCTTAATGGCGGCAAATGGACAAAGAGCATGAACTCCACCAGGCTGCTCTCAGCCAACCCTCCTCTTGTCTGCAGATACCTCCTGCACAGACTGCCCCGGTGGCTGGACCTACAACGACGGCTTCTGCTACCTGTTTGTGGGCAGTGGGAAGACCTGGGCTGATGCTGAGGTACAGCTGAGAAACATGCACTCTACAGTCCACACAGAGAGAGTTTTAATCCAAAGCGACTTACAAAGTATACTCAATTTTACAATTATCATCAATATGACAATAAGTTCTCTAGAGGAAAATCCCCAGTCAGAGTCACGGGTGACAGCAAAGAGAAAGAGAGGGAAGTGCAAAAAGAGTAGTAGTTCAGTTCTGGATCATTTGTAAGGGTTTTATCGTACAGGCTGGGAAACCAGTCAGGAGGGCGTTACAATAGTCAAACAAACAGAGGACCAGTGAATGGACAAGAACCCTCTCCTGGTACCTGTTGAACATCTGGAGTCTGCAGAGGGAGGCAGAGCAGGTCTCAGTGACCTAGTGTGAGGGAGCAGGAGAGGAAATTGCTTAGGGTCAGGACCAGAAACAGAGAAAGAGAGATGTTGGATTTTTTTTACATGTTTTCTGTAACTTTATGAGGAAACATCACATCAAACTGAACAAATCGCCCTGATATAGCAGCATGGACCAATAAGAAGTTTTAAAAGTGCTAAAACAGCTGAATTAAACCACAAATACTGAGTTAAAGGTGACAACACAACTCTGTGAAGAAGATCCTTAATAACCAGGAGATCCCCATGGTGATGGTGGAGTCCGGGGGGCTGACAGCTTCCACTCAGTGGGACCTCCATGGCTCTCAGAAAGGCCCTTTGGTCCCTGCTCATCTCCATGTTTCTGCCCTTTGTGTCTCTTCGCAGCGTTTCTGCATTTCACAGAAGGCGAATCTGGCCTCCATTCAGTCCAACGATGAGTTCACCTTCCTGAAGAACCTGATCATCCAGAAGGGAGGACGCAGCAGGAGGACCTGGATCGGAGGCCATGACGCTGTGCAGGTGACCAGCCACATCCTGAATTAGGGTTCCTATTAGGGTGTCCTCTGCATGGTGAAGCTGTTTCCAGCACATAAACCCATGTTTCCTCTTCTCGCTGTAATATCAACTGGAATAGAGCTCATTTACAGATAATTATATGTCTTTCCTTATTCTGATAAAGGAGGTGTTTCAGATATTTTTTTTAGCATTCACTCTTTGCTTCTGAAATGTTTTATCTCAGGATAACGTGTGGATGTGGAGCGACGGCTCACCATTTACTTTCAACTCCTGGGGTCGCGGGGAACCCAACAACTATCGAGGCCAAAAAGAGCCCTGCATGGAGATCATGAATGCAGGTACCAACTCACTGAATTCTGAGGCTTT